TATTTATATCTGACATGCTTTGTATCATCATACACTGTAGTTTCATGATTAAGAATACATACTTTAATTATGGACCTCTACTCCTTACAGATATGCCAAGGAAGACGAGAAGTGGGAGAGAAAGAAGAAGGAAAGACAGGAGAAGTCTAATGAAAGGTAATATCACATAGCTTTAGTCTGAATATTAGTAATTTCAGTTAAGTGTGAAGTTTTGCCTTACTCACAACCTGTAGTGACAGCTGCGCTCAAGGTAAATAGTACACGCCTCCTAACCGCAAGCTTTACGACTGGAAGTTTCTTCTAATCCCTGATTGGTTGCTCGTGCAACAGAATATTTTCGTGTCAATGTTGATAATATGAGTTGATCAATCACACAGCGGCGGCTGAATTGTTTATGCTGGATGCATCTGTTAAAAAAGATCATGACATAGTGCAAAACTTCTCACTAACTGAAATTACTAATATTCTTTATGTGTCCTTGGAAAGGCCCTTGCCACAGATAGAGTAAATGTACTTCCCAAATAATTGCAATGTAAATACATGTATATTTTGACAAAATTGATTGGATCTGCACATTTTACGGAGAATACAAAAGATAACCTTAAATGCACCAACAAATAAAAACAAATCTTGACGAGCTTGTACGTTATGTGTGTGCATTGCACCCAACTTCTGAAAAAGCAGCATTTTTTGGCAGCCTTTAACCTTTTCTTCCCACCCAAAATGATATTGGTCATATTTGACATTAGGAAGTACATGTACTTGAATTATTAACAGTTAATTTACAAGAATTTATTGCCTCTTTTTAGGTCACCTGAGTAAACTCAGGTGACCTATTGCTATCCGTTTTCGTCTGTCGTCGTTCGTCGTACGTCGTTCGTAAACTTTTGAACATTTTCAGCTTCTTCTCTGTAACCACTGAACCAATTTCAACCAAATTTGGCACAAAGCATCTATGGGTGAAGGGGAACAAAAATTGTGAATTTCATGATCCCTCCCCCATGGGGCCTGAGGGGTGGGGCCAAAACCACTAAAATTAATGCAATCTTTAAAAATCTTCTTCTTTACTCCTGGACATCAAGCAGTCAAACTGTTTGCATGATTGTAATCAGCATTGAGTCCTCTACCAAAATTGTGAAATTCATGGCCCTGGGGTCAGGGGTTCTAGTGCTAGTGCAGGGCTAAATAGGTATATAGTGAAAATGCATTATTTCTTTGAAAATCTTCTTCTCTGCTCCTGGGTATTAAATAAACCAACTAAGTAGATAGTAATGATGAGCAAGAGTGCCTCTACCAAAATTGTGAATTTTATGGCCCCAGGGTCAGGGGTTCTGGTGTTAGGGCGGGGCTCTATTGATTAAATACAGTGAAAATACATGTTTCTTTGAAAATCTTCTCTGCTTCTGGTTATTAAATAAACTAACTAAGTAAATAGTTATGATTAGCAAGAGTGCCTCTTCCAGATTTGTGAATTTTATAGCCCCAGGGTCAAGAGTTCTGGTGTAAGGTGGGGGGGCGGGCTCTATTGATTATAGAGTGAAAATACACGAATTCTTTGAAAATCTTCTTCTCTGCTCCTGGGTATTAAATAAACCAACTAAGTGCATAGTTATGATAAGCAAGAGTGCTTTTACCAAAATTGTGAATTTTATGGTCCCAGGGTCAAGGGTTCTGGTGTTGGGGGGGGGGGCTCTATAGATTATATTGTAAAAATACATGAATTCTTTGAAAATCTTCTTCTTTGTTCCTAGGTATTAAATAAAAAAAACTAAGTGCATAGTTAAGATGAGCAAGAGTGCTTTTACCAAAATTGTGAATTTTATGGTCCCAGGGTCAGGGGTTCTGGTGGGGGGGGGGGGGGGGCTCTATTGATTATATTGTTAAAATACAAGAAATATTTGAAAATCTTCTTCTTTGTTCCTAGGTATTAAATAAAAAAACTAAGTGCATAGTTAAGATGAGCAAGAGTGCTTTTACCAAAATTGTGAATTTTATGGTCCCGGGGTCAGGGGTTCTGGTGTTGGGGGGTGGGGGGGGGCTCTATAGATTATATTTTAAAAATACATGAATTCTTTGAAAATCTTCTTCTTTGTTCCTAGGTATTAAATAAACTAACTAAGTGCATAGTTATGATGAGCAAGAGTGCTTTTACCAAAATTGTGAATTTTATGGTCCCAGGGTCAGGGGTTCTGGTGTTGGGGGAGGGGCTCTATTGATTATATAGTGAAAATACATTAAATCTTTGAAAATTTTCTCCTCTGTTTCTGGGTATGAAGCAGATGAACTACCTATATAGTTATGATGAGCAAGGGCCCTAATCTTGCAGAATTGTGAATTTCAAGACCCCAGGGTCAGGGATGGTGGTTGGGCTCTACTTATATACTGAAAATGAATTAATTGTTTGAAATCTGCTCCTTTGTATTTATAAAACATTCATTTTTTTATAGGCAATTTTAAGGGTGCCTTTTTAAAATAAACCTAGGATCAGGGATTTATTTCACAGTGTTAGGGGCACTACTGATTATTGCTGAATATTACTGATTAGTTGGAATGCATTTTTGTTCCCCTACCTTGCATATGGGTATTCAGTACCCCTGCGACGTGATCATGAATAATTCATGAATTTCCTTGAATTTTTCATGAATTTTATTCATGAAATGTTCATGAAACATTCATGAAGATGCTATGAACTTATTATTGGACATTTTCAAATCAATAAACCAAGCTAAGCAACTGCTAAGTGTATTGATATGATGATCAATGGTGCCTCTTTCAAAATTGTGAATGCCATATAGCATCTGGCTTAAAACATGAATCAAATTCAATATCTGGAAAGTTGTTGCAGAATGCTCAGGTGACCTATAAGGCCCGTGGGCCTCTTGTAATTTTGCTGCATTATTAATATGCAGATTCAATTTAAGCATTAGTAAAATTTTAAGGCTTCATGGGTCAATATGATTTCAACAATGCATCAAATTAAAAATCTATCAAGCATATCCTCTGATGAATTTATAACTGTGGGGATTAAGGAGGAAGCAAAACCAGTGACTGACCATTGTTTATCTTTTTTTACAGGAGAGCAGAGAGGAAGTCAAGGACCGATGAGATCAGGCGTAAATATGGTGGGTATTTGTAATTTCAGCAATACATTCTTAAAAGATGAATGGAATTTTATGTTTAAGAACATGAATCTACTAGAGATGTAAATTCACTACTGTTTTATATCTATAGGTAAACTTTTTTTACAAATCTCAAGGTCAATTTCTATTAGGCAATCATGTATGAAAGGTGAAGATTAAGAACACAAATAATATCCGTATGATTAGCATAAACATAATAATTCACACAGAGAGAGAGTTAAACATGCAACTGTAAAATAAAATTACAAATGTCATACAACAGACTGTATATAATGTTTGTACTAAACTTTGTCAACACTTCCATGCGACTTTAGGAATATCATTCAAAGGTAAATAAAGCAATGGTTTATTAGCTATGTAACTTTTTTTTTAATTTCTTACTTCCACTCTTTAATAATTTATAATTAATTGTCAAAATCGGTATACAATTTTTTTCTTGTTATCATTTCCACTTCATATACATATGGTGTACTGATTTTATGCTACTGTATAACTATTTTTGGTTACAGTGGTACATTAATTTGGTTTACTTCAACTTCAGTTGTGTACTTTTACATATTTTAAAAACTTCATTTTTACACATTTCATGCATTCCAACTATAGACTTTCAATGTTGAACAATTTATTTTTTCAACAACGTAAATGGCAATGGCTACAAGGAAAAAATTGCATGCATGTTCCACAGAATACAATTCAATTTTATGCATCCTATTTTCAGATGGATTTTCATTTTTACACCCTTTTCTCCCTTTTGCAATTGACCATTTTGTCCTTTTGAGGCCCATATTTAGGTCATTTATCATGTCATGCTAGATGTTAAGACTACAGAAAATTATCGTATATTTTTCTTATAATTTTGCTTTCAACTTGTAAATCAATTTTCAGTACGATAGCATGTTTGTCTCTTTTTTTCGGTGGTTTCATTTTTTTTAAAGATTGAAAAAAATAATTTACATTTTATTGTCGATTGTTACAGTAGTACATCACCACCAATTTTCATTCATTAAAGAAAAAAAGAATTGTAATTTAAAATGCAATTTACTTCTTTAAAAAATTTTCAATGCTTTTATACATATTCTTACAAGTAAAAGTGGATGGTCAAACTATATGCATGGTGTATGATATTCATAGGGTTTATAGATAACGGAAAGATTCAACTAATTAAAAAATTTTCATAACTTGCAGGGCTGATGAAAGATGACAATTATCAGCGATTTGACAACGAGGCCTAAGATAGGGAGGGACCACATCGGGGGGATACCTGGCCGGTCCAGAGGTAAGGAGATACCACAAGGAGAACCTTCAGGATATAAATAGCTCGTCACCACCCAATGATGTAAACATTTGTTCACAGAGACCACTGGTCTCTTCATTCATATTTTATGATCGCAATGTCACATAATGTTCCTTCATTTTGTTCATGTTTTAAAAAATTGTCAAACTGTACATGGGGTATTGGTGCTTTAAATATAGGATGATTTGTGTCACAGCATAAAAGTTTAGATTCTAGCTATCGAGTATCAATGTACAAAGTCATATTTTTGAAATAGACAAAAGTAATAGCTCTAGATTATTCAATTACTTAATTTTACATTATTGTTTAATTTGTATCTTAAATGGAAACAAAACGTCATATTTTTTTTTAGGAATGGTTGTACTTGTACATGTAATTTTGTTTTTACATGTATTGAAAATTTTGAAAATTATTAGTCCTTACCAATAATTCTTACTTTGGTAGATGTTAAATTTTTTTTGTTGTTTTAATCTTTGAATCTTTTTTGGAAAAAAAGGGAAAATCCTCAGCTACAGTGCTGGTGAAAATGATTTATTTTTTATAAAAAGAATTCCAAAAATTTGCAGGTGGACAAATACAAACTTGTACAAAACTCTGTATGTATTTGTGTGACTTATCTTTATTGATCTCAAGAATAGGGAAAATCCTATCAAATGAGTTGATTTGTGAGAATTGTTTTATTTTTAAAGAATTTGAACAAAAAAGTCAGAAATTAATTTTAAAAGAACTGATTCAAATATTCCAGCTTTGTTAAGGTAATGTTAACTTTCACATCCCCCAAGCTCAATTGTCATTGTTTAGTTTAATTTTTGATATGTCTACATAAACCTTACCAGTAATCTGTTTTGTTGTGACTTTAAATTCTTATTGATAAATCCTGAGATTGTGATTTTTTTAAGAAGAAAGTTTTGTGTCCTACATTTATTAATTTTCAGAATATTTTAAGGAATTAAAAGAATTTTTTGACAAATATTTTTGATGGAATACTGTAAAATTACGTATTTTTATGGATTCAGATTTATTTTAAAAAATTATATTGGTTCAAAGGGATATGATTTCAATGTAAATGTTGTGTCCATTTGAAATTTTAGTTTGTTTTGGAGGGCATCTGGGTCTCTTCATGCTACACAAACAACAACAAATTAACCATTCCATGAAAATAAGAGATTTCACAGTATTGCTTTGTAGTACTTAGTAAATACTTAAAAATTAAAAGAGTAAACTAAGATAAATATTTTTTTTCAATTTATGATGCAAATTAATTCCAGTCCTAGCTATTCTGTCCTGAAATGACTTAGGTACATGTAAATTGGTATTTGTACTACATGTACTTTTACCAACATGTTATAAAATGTGCTTTCAGCATGTTATAGTCTTTTGTTTTTTATTTTGTCATATACCAAGTTTGTACATTGTACTGTAACAGAAGAACTATATTTTTGTAACATTTTTATTGATCGTTCAATGTATTTTTTGGTTGGCTTGATATTTTATTTGCTTCAGTGGTTTATACATAATATGTTTTCACAGAAAGATGATTTTCTTTTGAGACGGAAAAAAGTTTCATTTCCAAAGTCTTCGTTTCAAAAATATTAAAAAGTGTTTTCTGTTGCTTGCAGAACAAAATTTTTTGAAAACATTGCATTTTTAAACATTGATTTTTTGAAATTAATTTTTGTAGCAATGGTAGATTGTAGATATTGGAATTCCTTTGATATAAGAAATTGGAATTCCTTTGAAAACTCAAAATTGATTTTTCCCACAAAGGCACATGTTTTAATTCTAGAAATATGTAGTAATATGATTATATTCTTCACTTATATTTAAATATTTGATGTACATGTAAGCATAACAAACACTTGGAGAGAGAGAGAGAGAGAAAGAGAGAGAGAGGAAAATGTGACCAATATTTTCATTACAGCATTTAAATTACAACAGACTTTTTAAAATGTCTACAAACTTCTGCAATTGTCCTCAATATTTAGTAGCTTCACTGCTAGTATTTTGAGCATTTGTTGAGTTCTATTATCAGACTTAAAAATGATGTAAAACATGTGTCAGAAGAAAAAGCATATTTCAAAAGACAAAAGATTTTTATGTAAATCACTATAAATTATTAACATTGATAAGCAGGTAATCTTATGTTAAATTGGACATTTTTTTTCTTTTCAGTTATAATATGTATGCACATTATGATAATCATACATGTACTAACATGTATGTATATTTAGTGCATGTACATAATATTTAGTGTTAAGCAATTTGGTTTCTTTGATGAGTAGCTGATATAATAATTTCAATCAAAATTGTGCTTTTTTTCATCATTTTGTGTGATATGAAATATTTTGATAAAACTACAATCAGACTAATGTTCTGCATTACTGGTCTTTTTGTCACTTTGTTATTTCCAAAAGAATGAAAATGGTTTGTATCCTTTAAGGCGGAATATATAGTGACTGTTAATGCAATATCAGAATTTATAAACGCTCTTTAGGGGAAAATATCTGTTGCATCCAGAAAAATACAGTAATACTCGGTTATAACGAAGTCACTGGGACCTATGAAATTACTTCGTTATATCCGTAATTCGTTATATCCATATGAAGAATTTGTTAAATTTATTTAGCTGGGGATCCAAAATAAATTCGCTATATCCTTGAATTCACTATATCCGTGTTCGTGCTAAACGAGTTTTGCTGTAGAGACAATCCAAGTTAAAAGTAACCATATCACAAGTCTGCCGTATATATACAGTAAAACACTCTTATAATTAACAAAGTACCAGGGACAGACAATTTTACCATTTCAGTTATTTCCCTTTAGATTTCGCAAAAAACGCACTAAGAAGTACAGTAAAACTCTGTGATAGCAAAGTCACTTGGACCCATGAAATTACTTACCTATATCTGTAATTCGTTATATCCGTGTAAGGAATTCATATAGCTGGGGATCCAAGAAAAATTTACTATATCCGTGAATTCGCAATATTTGTGTTCGTACAAAACGTCTTTTACTGTACAACTCTTAGTGAAAATAAAACGTATGCGGTGCTGTAAGCGTCAATTTATTATAAGTGTGTTCACTATAAGCATGTTTCACCGTAAAGAAATGATATATAAAAGTTATGTAGGATCGAGTAAGAATCCCTGTTCGACCGACAACATCCGTATTCATGACTTGGCAAACCGGGGGGGGGGGGGGACAGTTGTCATAATGGTCTAACAATTTATATGAAAAACGTCAACCTGTATTTGACTTGATAATAAATTTTAATTGCGTATAAGGTCATTTTATTTACGAAATTTTGACTTTAAACGTAACGGTTGTCATAATGGTCTAACAGTTTATATGAAAAACGTCAACCTGTATTTGACTTGATAATAAATTTTAATTGCGTATAAGGTCATTGTATAGACCACATATTTACGAAATGTTGCCATTAAACGTAACTGTTGATATCCTGTAACATTAATTTGTTTGTCATTAGCTTGTTTCGTTTGAGAAATGATTCATGCGTATAACATGCCCTTGCGTATTCTTAAATGATGTGTAAGGCAAGATTTTTAATATCTTTTGTAAAATTGTTCTATGTACAGTGTCCTTAGAGTGCTGTATTTGCTTCTTTAAATGTGTTTTGGAATGCGGGGTCTATGGTTGTATCTTGAAAACTGTGCTCTCTCTCTCTCTCTCTCTCTCTCTCTCTCTCTCTCTCTCTCTCTCTCTTTGGGAGGGGGGATCAGGAAGATATGTTCGATCTTTTTGCAAACAAATTCATTCAAACGGTCAAACTGGTATCACAGACCTTGAGACTAGCATTAATTGTTACCTTATTGTTTTAGAAAAAAACATTTACTCAGTGTATAAGCGATATTGCGATAAGGAAATGGCAGAAAAAAAGCTTTTTACAAAGGTATAGATGTGGCTGCATGACAGAGGTGTCCGAAGCCCCGCTTTGATTGTTAGCAACATGTGATGTTCGTACACTCGGGGGCAAGGGTTCGTCGTCAATCCACGTCCAAACGGATTATGCTCGCGTCGTCTCCTTTTATCATAAACAGAAAATTTTATTGCAAATACACAAAAATATACACAAAGCATGACACTGCGAACTTATGTAGCCTTTGTCCACACTGTGGTGAAAGTTAAGCCCATTGTGACGATTGCGTTGTGTATATACCTGTAGAGAATATAGATAAAACGAACAGGTGCTTCGGCAAAGTCCCTTAATGGATTTATGAAATTATTTATTGTTGTTTTATATCTGTTTTTACAATACAAGTGGAGCTGATTTATTGGAGAGAAGGTGAATTCTTTGCCAAAATATTTTCACTGAGGATTTTTTAATGTGATGTGTCGTAAGCGGACACTACATTTAATGCCATTTCGTATTTTTCTGTTGGTTTTCTATCAAAATATTTTAATAGGAAGGAAGGAATTCAAGCGTACTACTTTCTGCTTAATTGTCGGGTAGTACACAAAGAAACCGGGGTAGGATACTAGATTATTATCAAGGTTTCGTATTAAGGAAATGTAGCGTGTTAGTCATCGTAAACTTTCCTAGTCAACAGCAGGGGCCGAGAAAAGTCGTCATTCGGAAAAAGTGGGAGTTCCCAAATAAGGGAAAGAAAGGTCGAATTGTTCCCTGACCCCGGACACATGTTTCCAAATTTCTACCTCCTCAGCGTAAGACTGTAGGATCAAGTGCAATGGAGCAGGATTCTTGGTTGTAGATTTGAGATCATCGGGAAATGTAAGGTCTTACTCGGAAAAGTGAAGGAATTTTTGGGTAATGGACTTACGGTCATTTTGTTGACGTATATCTGGCGATCCTTTGGTTGTGGCGATAATTGGCTGTCTTTGCGACGTTTAGTGGAATAGACTGCAGACTTTGTTGAATTAACAAAAGCTGTCCACAATATTTAGAGTATGGATTGTTTATGACGAAAGGTGCATCTAAAGAAGACTGAAAATGTTGAAGTGGGTTAGAAAGCGGTAAGTTAAAAGTAACCATTTTATTTAATAAATACCTTTGTTTGCACTAAGGAAGTCTTTAAAATCCTGCAATAAAAAACCCTATGTTTCTGTAATTTGATGATATCTTACCTGTTTTATGTTACCGAGCAAAGAATCGTATAAAGTTATAAACAGTACTAAAAACAGTTGAAAGCAGGACAATTTTGCAAATGTATAGCAGTACCTAAAGCCAATACCTGCCTTTTATACATTTTTGTACGTAACGATGCTACCATGTGCCATTTTGTGAAAAACCTACCAGGTAGCTACAGGCTGTAAGGGGCCTCACACCTTGTTTTTCTATGTATCAATTTCATGATAAATCCATTCCTTTAGATCGTTAAATAAAACGACTATTTAAAAAAAATCTTTTTTTAAATATCAAAAGTATGTAAGGCATGCTTACATAAAAACGGTAAAAAAAAATGTCCAACAAGCCCCGGGGTTGAATATCGGGGGGGGGGGGGTTCTGTCCACAAGTACCTGTGGTTGCTTAGACTAATCTTGAGTGCATATCCACAATATATCTAATCAGAGTCCTGACAAAAAGAGTTCTTTTTCCAGACTGTCTTTTCCTACAATGAACCAGCTTACATTGTGTTTTTTTTTAATCACTGGAGACCGTCCTGAACACAAACTGTTTATAACGCTCTCTGGAGGTCCTTTGGTCCAAAATAAGTCTCTCCTGTCCAAACTAATTCCATCTAAGAAGTTATCTGAATAAACTTAAAAATAAAAACATTGTAGGAAGATTAAAATTGTCTGATGATTTGTTTTACAGGTTCACACGTCGTCGGTGAGTTTTACGTATCTAGATTTACTTTAGAATTTTAAAATGTATTTTTTTTTTTTGCTTCGCTTCCACTTACAATTGTTTTGTAGTGAACGTGTTAGTGTAGATGATTTTCAGTTTAACGTTTGCATGATGAGGAAAAAGTGTTTAGATGGGATCAAATTCACAGTTTTATTTTTCATGCAACCCAAATAAATGATTGTTCAACTTGATTTTTGCAGCAAATAAACGATGCATTCTATAACTACATTTTAAATTTATTTCGATTACGATATCATTCACATAGTTTATTTGTCAATCACGAAAATATCGCTCACGAAATGCATGTACATGTAGTTCAATTTTCTTGGAAAAGTGGGGTAGCTAATCTGCAGTAGCCAAGGAATTTTGGTCCATTTCGCTCCCCATCTTGCCCATAAACGCTCAAAACGTGTACTTTTTTTGGTGTAAGAGAGACAACTGGTACATCCTTGTTTGATGTGCTCGATCATGGATTTTATTCAGTCTGGCTCAAGATATCCCCTACCATTTCATTTCTTGTATCACTCTTCAAAATCACAGACACTTATTTTCAATAATATTTATCCATAATATAATAAAAACAGCTCATTATAGTGTGAAAAGGAAAAAAAAAAGATCGGAAAATTGACTTTTACTCATTTGCGGAGAGATAGGACCGAGAGCGAGTGGGGTGCATGGTGTTTTACATTTGTATTACTTCGGAAATATTTGTTCTTAATCACTTGATATTGATTTAACAACAAATTGGATGCTTATAGATATTCATGTATTCGCATGTATATAAATGATGCAACATCATCTAATAGTGGCCCAAGCAATAAAAATTGCAGTAGGTTATCTCGATCGAATGCTTGCTTTTTATAATGATTGATGAATATATTTTATATTAACGATTAATCAAGGTATCGTTAATTTCGAAGTGCATGTATCCTGAATTTTTTCATTAGTAAAACAAACGACATTTGCTGCACAATAAATACAGTGTTCTTACGGCTAAAATGACTGTCGATGGATTTTGAATGATTTTGACATCCATCAAGTTGAATCCTTAGGTTCAAATAAACAGGTACTTGTTCTATTCTGAGGGCAAAACTATAATCTTTTTTCTCATATAAGTTATAAAGTCTAATTAGGGCCATACTCATCAAGTCAACACAATCTGATTAGGTTTGATTGATTAAGCGCAAAGTCTTCATCAGTTGATATATAAATTGACGTCGCCCTACACATCTTGTCTAAACAAGCTAAAGACGATTTGTTTTTCGGAAAATGCTTTGGACTTGTTATCTTTTCTCATAAATGTTTAAAGGTGCAAACTGCATGAAATGATAAAAACAGTTAATGGCCCAAAGGGAGACAAATAGATAGATGAAACTGCAGTGAGTTCTGACCAATCAACGTTGACCTTTTTATGGACTTTGCTTCAGGGATTCTTGACGTCATCATCCGAGGGCCCCGGGTTTTCCCCCTTTTCTCTGTGTATTTTGATTCTTGTTTTCACGACTTCTACCTTCAGACTGACATTCGGGGCAGACGGTTGATG